AGCAGCACAAGTTTTTGCTGTGGAATTACAGGTTTTCCACACTGCTGATTTGGTATTTCTGTAGGGAATGAGCTACATGCAAAAGTAAAAGCTCTACCTGTTAATAACAGAGAGAAGAGAAAAATCTGCGTCTTTTTTTTTTCCCCTCGCCTTCATCTCTCACTATCAGACAACACCCTTAGGTGTTTTGTATAACAGAGTGAAATTATCAAAGACTAAATTAATTCAAGTGTCTGATGAGATTTTATTAAGTGGTTAAACATCAACCACCATCACACTCTGAACTGGAAGAAAAAAATTCCCATAATACCACATCAAATGGAATGCCTTCTAGAAATCATAAAAGCTGCTTAAGAAATGAAAAGGGTTAAATATTTAAACTTCCTTTAATTTCCAATTGGGCCATAAGAAACAGAAAAGGGTGACAGTGAACAATTCATTTAGAGAAGCACTATCGCATTGCTCCTAAACACCTTTCTATGCTACTACAAAGCAACGTTGCAAAATTAAGAACATTATAGGCCCTTCATTCACTAATTTGCAATCACCAATTCACTATTTCTAGATTTAAGGCACAGATTAACTCTTCCCACTGATTAACAGAAATGAAGTGGTCCCATTATTTTTAAAATTTGAGTTTTAAAAGAGGGCAACAGAAGCCAGCTACTAGCAATAAACACCACTATTTTTTAGAGATAATGCTGCAGATGTAAAATTATGTTTCAAAGACAACTGCATGTCCTACAATAGCTCTCATTAAGAATTTAAAACATAAATTATAGAAGACTGAGACAAGGAAGCTAAGAGTTCATTCACTTGCTTCTGCAGATTTATTTAATAAAAGCCTCCAGAACCACCTAGAAATCCAAGTACTTTGTAACAACAGTAACAGAATGGAAAAAAAATAAATGGACCCGAGATAAGATTTCTTCATGGTAAGGATGACTTGCACTTGCATAAATGCCTTTCATCCAGATGGATACAAAACTGATTTACAGCTATAGGAACCTCTTCAATCATGAGTATGGCCTGCCTCTGGTGTAAAAAGTAGAAGGATAACGACAACATAGTGCAATTGCATAAAGTTTCAGCCTGGCATTAAATTCTGGAACTAAACCACAAATGGAATTTTAGGTCAGCTGAAGTCATCTACCTGATGGCTGGTACAGCCAAATTTTCACTCTCTCTCAACCTATTAAACACAACAAAGGTATTAAGCATGGTAAGTTTTCTACTTGACACAATCTAATTGGTAATTTTTATAGGGGTTCCAGAGGAAAGAAAAAAAATCTAACACCTTAAAACTATATGGGGAATGAAGGGGTAAAAGAACTTCTAAGGCGTGGCCAAGACATCAAAGGACCCCAAACTTACACTATTCCTACACAGCACTGGGTTTTCCAGATAACCAGCCACTCTAGGAGAGTTAGATATTGCTTTGGGCAAGTTAAGGGGAAACTTTGCCTAATGTATAAGCACAGTTAACCAGAGATGACAGCCTATGTAAGGCCAAAAATTTAGTGACGATATTTGGTAAATTAATAATATGCCATCATTTAAAACAATCAAAACTAAAATACAGCAAAGACCCTTTCTTCAAATGTACCAAAACCAGATGGGATTGAGACAGATATCTTTAACAGTGGGAAGGAGGGTTAGGAGACCATCTGAAGATAATAATTTGTTTTGTTCTGGAAGAGGGAAGAAATTACATTACAAAGTTGATCAAGTTGGCGGATGGAAGTCAGGCATTCTCCCATACTAAGACATGAGATTAGGAATTTAAAGCTCATACATTTTGCACCACTTAAAGTAACAGCAGTCACTGTCCCACCACTGACAACAACAGAAATCAAATAAGAATAATTCAGGTACTCAATTACACTAAGTCCAATTTTATTTTCAACCCAACATTTTCACACCATAAGAATTAACACAAATGACAACTGGCTAGTGAGAAAATTTTTCCCATTTGCTCTGTGTTCACCTCCAAGCAACTTCTGAGCCTTCCTCTAAAGACATGAGGAAGAGAAGCAAGACTAGAGAGCCTCCGAGCTGCATTTAGTTCATTTTTCCACTGAATCTTCTGGAAATGGCAAAAACACCCGTGTTTCTCAATTCAGAATAAGACGCTGAAAAGGAAACACGCTCAGATTTGTTCCTGCAGACAGAGCAGCGTATTATGGATCCGATAACCCTTAGTCTAAGCCAAAGCTCTCAGACACAAAAAGGCTAGAGGTGTTTATATCTAAGAGTGTAGTAATCGCCTGGTTGTAAACCTGGGTTTTAACGCTAATATGGCTCCTGAAAAATGGCTTTGCTCCACATTTGGGCTTGGGCACCGAGACACGCTTGAAAACAAGTTACTTGCAGGCCCCAATCCGGGCAATAACTTTGTTATTGTGTGGTTTGCCTGTTTTTAGAGCTGGGAATCAGATAAAGAAAACAAAAACCGACAACAACAAAACAAAAGTTGCCCCATTAAGCGCTGCTAACCCCAAGTGTTGCCAAAGTCGAGGAGATTAAGGCTGCAGGAGCAAAGGAGGAGCCGGGGAGGCCTGTCTGGAGGAAAGGCCTCGCCTGGGAATTGCAACACGGGGCAGATGCTGGGTGCGGAGGCGGTCGGGGGGGGGGTTAGGAATTGGCACAGGGACTCACCGTCAGGGTGTCATCGATGTAGAGGGGGATCTGCCTCTTCTCGAAAGGGAATTCCTCCTCCCCGTCCCTGCAGACGGCCACCAGCCGCGCCATCTCTGCCTCTGCCCTGCCGCTTCCTCTCTCTCCTCTCCAGCCTGCTAAAACCAAACCCCGGGGAGGTAAATACCCGCCGCGTTTCCCCGGCACACTTTCACCAGCCCGGCAACCAGCCTGCTTTACCCCATCGCCTGATTCACCACGGCGGGCCCCGCCGCCCCGGCCC